AAAATATTCACTAGGATACTTGAGGTGAATAGTAAGATCTTTGCAAGGTGCCTTGAATTTCTCCCCATTTTCCTAAATATTTTAAATTTGCCTAGTTTACAGGAATGCCCTATCTTCTATAAAAGAAATACACACACACTCAGGACTTTCTAGGCTACCAAAGAGGCAGTTAGTGGATTGTTTTTCAAGAAGCATTTGTGTGCGCAGAGCTCCGCGTGGTATCATCAGCATCCTCTACTCCCCCCACCCCCGTGATGATGGCTCCTTCATCAGCACCCTAACATGTTCACCTTCCCGAAGGTTGGCTAATCAAGGGGACCTGACCCCCGAGGACTCTATGTGATCTCTCGAGAAATTTTAGTGAAGTGTTACAATGCTGCAAATGAGGAATAAACTTCTCGACTTTCTAGTTGAGGTGTTCTAAAAATAATTTTCCTACAAAGCTATATACTTTTGACAATCACGTTGAAGAATTTAGTCTTAGTTAAAAAAAAACACACAAGAAAAAGGGGAAAAAAAGCCTACTTGGTGCTAAATATTATTCAGGCTGCTGAGGGTAAATTGAGTTACTGAACTTATGGTGTAAAAGGATGCTTGCCTGCTTTGCTATTGAGCACTTTTGGTGCTTGTTGAATTGCATATTTATTTAGATAAATATTTATTGCATACCAAAGTACAAGACACAATACAAATGGTCAACAAATTCTTGTTTGATTGACAAAATGTAAGACACTGTGTTAAGCTTGTGTAAAACATGTCTCCTGTTTTCAAAGAGATTACTTTCTATCATGGCACTTCTAAAATTTCTGTCCTTTAATTTTCAAATAAGTATAAAACATGGAGTATAAAGATAGGACTAGAAAAGTGTTCATATAGCAGAAAACCTTCTCAAAAGAAATTTGAAAGTTGGTAGGTGGATGATGGTAGCTGGAGCTCAAAGTACATAGTGATGAGAATTTTTTTTAAAAAATGTTAGCTCAGGATGAAAGAAAAATAGGTAATAAATGGGAAATGGGAAAGCTACAGCACACATAAGGCAGAATTAATGAGAGAACTGCAAAGAAATTAGTCAGGAGTGGAGACAAAGCACAGCTGTTGAGGATAATACATTGGCCCCATATCTTTGGAAGGAAGTAACAGTCTGAGAAACAGCTCTTTAGAAACCCGCCCAACCGCAGCACAGAGCCGAAGGTCCGTCTGAGGTTGCCTGGCACCGGCCTGAGAGCGAGGCTGGGGGGTTGATATTCGTGCTTCATGAGTGAGGGGTCTCAGGAAGAACCTGAGGGAATGAGGGGAACAGGCTAGGGCAGAGGAAAGGGTCAAGCAAGGTGGGACCTCAGGTGGAGCCTACAGTTGGCCTGGCCCATGAGGCTGAGGCTTCTGGGCATAAAATCCAACCACAGAGAGGGCCGGCCTTTTGTACTCGGCTCTCAGGGGTCATCCTTACCTGGTCAACTGAGGGCAGTTCTCTGGGGATAGATGCAGCTCAGCCCAATGCAAGCACCCAGCACTCATCCAAATTCCAGGATAAATGCACCAGCCTGGCACAGGGGACTGGGAAGGGCACTATAAGGCCTGTGAAGCAGAGAGAAGGTACAGAAGCAGACCAGAGACCAGGCTTCCCGTAGCAATGGGCACCCACAGCCAGCATTTTGAGGGGCGCACAGAAGCAAATTCTCCTTGGGCCAAATCATTGCACAGATTTGATTGTTCCCAAATTCGGAAGAAGACAGCTAGAGCTGTAGAAACATTGGTGATGAAAACCTTGACGGTCCAAACTTTGCACAGTATTATATTGGGAAATGGGTTTCTCTGTAATTCGCATAGCAGCAGAGTGATGCACAAGTAGCCGTTCAAATGGAAGTCAGCATGAGACCTGCAGAGCGCGGGAATTTTTAAAAGCAGCAAAAGAACTGATAAAATATAACAATCTGGCCCAGGATAGGAAATTTTTGCACTCTCACCTAGCTGGGATTTCACTAGTTAATGATACAGGTGCAACAGTGCTAGTGCCTGATTGAGCCTGCTGAGCATTAAGAAAAAATGTGGCTTCTGCTCCACTTCCATGCTTCAGATCTTGTGCAACATTCCTGTCTGGACCATGTTAACACGTAACTGCCAGGAAGGGAATTCTGGGAAGCGTAGTTCCAGCTTAGCTAAATTACACAAACAAGCCCACCACAGTCCACCCCTTGGCAAGTTGGTATCTGTCTGTCTATCTATCATCTATCTATCTATCTATCTATCTATCTATCTATCTATCTATCTATCTATCTATCTATCTATCTATCATCTATCTGTCTGTCTGTCTGTCTGTCATCATCTATCTATCTACACACATATATACACACACATACACCATACGTAACTTCCAGATAAAGGAAACATAATTATGCTCTAACATAATGCAACTATCTTTGTAAAACTGAAAACCCACTCACCCTCTCCCCCAAAGATAACACAGTCTCTTTATTCGTCTTTGCATGATTTTCCTTACTCTTCTAGTCCAATCACTGTCCCCATTTGATATCCTGTAAGGGAAATACTGAGATGTGAGGTAACTACTAACACATATTAGATGACAGGGGGAATAGAAGAGGGAGAAAGACAAACAAAATAACCTCCCCACGCAACACACACACACACACACATGCACACGCTCCACACACACATAGCAAATGTGAGTCAGCTTCCAGATGAGCTACCTGAAGCCACATCTGCGTAGAGTGTATGGCTTAATTTTTTTCTCCAAATACTTGTAAATGAGATGAGTTCAGAGAAAATTAAACTAATGATTTAATTAATATAATTATTTGAACAGAAAAGAAGCATAATTACTACAGAGTAAATGGAACAGAGGATGAAAGCCATGAGAGAAATCTATGGCATCATTTGTGTTTTATTTGTAAGCCCTTTCAAAAATTAATCTGTATTGGGCCAGTTTGTCATCATGACATTCTGGGTAAAAATGTACTGTTTTGATGACTAATTTGTACATGAATTTCATATATTATACTTTTTTATTGAATTTATTGGGGTGACATTGATTAATAAAATTATACAGGTTTCAGGGGCACAATTCTATAACACATCATCTGTATATTGTATTGTGTGTTCACCACCCCAAGTCAAGGCTCCTTCCCTCACTATTTCCCCCCATACCCTCTTCTACCTCCCCCGACCCACATATATTCTACTTATTTTTAAAGTATTGAATATGTTGAGTTAAACATTTATTAAAATATGCCCACTTTGTAGTTTAAATATTTCTTTGGAATTTGAAATTGATCTGTAGAACAAATAAATTTTCACTTTATTGCTTTAATTTGGCCTCATATAACCACTTTTCAAATAAGTCATTTTTATGACAACTTCTCCAAAATTCCTAATTAAATGGCAAAATCTTGCCTTTTTTCGTCATGACTGCTATTTTACTTCACTTATTTATGATGTTTTTTGGGGAAAGTAAAAATAATAAAGGAACTTCAAAGGCTATTTTATTTCAGATGTTGGGAGATGACAATTTAATTTACTTGATCAAGTATTTGAGCAAAAGTCTCATCTGGATACTATTCAGGATACAAATATGAGGAGGACAACCTCAGGGGACTACAGTATAGAAACACAGGAAAGCCAAGTTTACAAATAAATATAATAAAAGGCAAAACATATGGTCCCTCTGTCTGGCACCCCCGCCCCCCCACCTGTCAAGCTCACTTTCTTCCTGATGCCTCTTCTCTCCCTGTACATACTCTTGTTATACTTCTTTCTCTATATTTTAATTTTGCTTCTTTTTCTAAGATCAAGGATCATAGGACCCTTGTCTGTTCATTCCTGTTTCCCCAGCACCTGTCATATGCATTTAATAAGTTTCTATTGAATGGAATGTATTATAATTTAACCTAAATTAAAATGGCATAAATAAAATGATCTAGGAACCTTCAAAAGAGGAAGCGCTTCCATGTGGTGGGGCAAATAAGTAAAATTTTGGGCAATTTTTATCTAAGGTGGAATTGGGAAAATAGGTAGCATTTTAAGAGTTAGGGGGAGGCCATTCAAGGCACAGGGAATAGTAACAAAGGCCAGTGAGCCACTAAACTAAAGAATGTACTAGCCCAACATCTTATACAATCTGACTGGAGTTCTTTTTTATAGTTTAAAATGTGTTGCGTTATTATGTTTATATAGAAAACTATCACTTCCTCTGAATAGTTAAGGCTTCATTTTTGTCCCTTAAGTTCCTTATACACCTAAGAAACCTCCTACCTTTTCCTGCGGAGGTAGGTGAGAGAGGTGTAGAAGCCCAGCGTCATTTATCGAGCACTTGCTATGTGACAGGTAGTGCCCAGCATTCGGTCCTCAAGCCCCCGCGGAGACGCTGTCATTGATTCCATCTCAGGGAAGAGGAACTGAATTTGGTGGGATAGTGTCACTTGCCCAGTGAGATGGCGGTAAGGACGGGAGCCAGCAATCTCAGCCAGACGGGGGCCTGACCCCCTTCCTCTTACCTGCAGCGTGATGGGCAGGGCCCCGTCCCACTCCAGGAGTGGGACTTGGGGGCCCATCTGAGAGCCGCTGCCCCCGAGGGCCAGAGGGCCTGGGACTTGGGGAAGTCACAGCAGGCCGGGGAAATGACAGGGCATGAAGCTTCTCAGGTAATGTAGAAGATTCCAGACCAAAGCTGTGATAGAGTATAGTGGACTCCAGGTTTTGCGAGCACAGGAGAGGCCAGCAGCCTTCCCGCCAGCAGCGGTGAGGGTGGAACATGCCTGGCCCGAGGCTGTGGCATCTGGGACCCGTGGCACCGACCCGACAGGGCGGCACACGGGCTCCCCTCCCGGCGGGAACAGCTTCCCCGTCACCCATCGACCCCCAGTAGCTGCGACGCCGGGTCACCCAAGTTGCAGGACGGCCCGGCTTTTCAATAACCGTGAAAGAAAACGGGCGCAGGCCGCGCGATGCCGGGGCTCACCTGTGCCCTCCAAACGCCTGTGTTTCAGGGAACATTTTCGTGGTGAGCCTCGCCGTCGCAGACCTGGTGGTGGCCGTGTACCCCTACCCCTTGGTGCTCACGTCTATCCTCAACGACGGCTGGAACCTGGGGCACCTGCACTGCCAGGTCAGCGGCTTCCTCATGGGCCTGAGCGTCATCGGCTCCATCTTCAACATCACCGGCATCGCCATCAACCGCTACTGCTACATCTGCCACAGCCTCCGCTACGACAGGCTGTTCAGCAACCGCAACTCGCTGTGCTGCGTGCTGCTCATCTGGGTCCTGACGCTCGCGGCCATCGCGCCCAACCTGCGCGTGGGGACCCTGCGGTACGACCCCCGCATCTACTCCTGCACCTTCGCGCAGTCCGTCAGCTCGGCCTACACCATCGCCGTGGTGGTTTTCCACTTCATCGTCCCCATGCTCGTGGTCCTCTTCTGCTACCTGAGAATCTGGGTCCTGGTCCTTCAGGTCCGACGGAGGGTCAAACCCGACGACAAGCCCAGACTGAAGCCGCAGGACCTCAGGAACTTTGTCACCATGTTCGTGGTGTTTGTGCTTTTTGCCATTTGCTGGGCTCCTCTCAACCTAATTGGCCTCGCCGTGGCCTCGGACCCTGCCAGCATGGTGCCCAGGATCCCAGAGTGGCTGTTCGTGGCCAGTTACTATATGGCCTATTTCAACAGCTGCCTCAATGCCATCATTTATGGACTCCTGAACCAAAATTTCCGGAAGGAGTACAGGAGAATCCTGGTGTCCCTCTGCACAGCCAAGATGTTCTTCGTGGACAGCACTAACGACGGGGCAGGCAGGGCCAAGTGCAGGCCCTCTCCACTAATGACCAACAATAACCTCATAAAGGTGGACTCCGTCTAAAAAAACCCAAAGCAATCCTGGCAAGATAGGAACCCTGCTCAAGGTCTGACTGATTTTCATGTGTGCCTCGCTCTTGACAGATGTCTAGGAAAACAGTGTGGTTGGAAAAAACCATGCTCGTAAGAGTCTGCCTCTGTACTTTCTGTGCTAATGTGTGATCAGCCTTCTGAACAAGTCTCGAATTCTTATCAAGAGAAACACAGAGCTATGTGTTAATTGAAGACTGCGGTACAGGGATGGAAAAGGGTAATTTTAAATAAAAATGTTGATTGTATTCAAATGGGAAAAGTGCAAACTTTTTAAAATTGCAAATGGGTGCCACAAATGTCGAAATTGCTTTCTTCCCTCCACTTTTTGAAGATTTTTAGTAGGAAAACAAATGATGTGTTTTATTTATAATGAATAAATGGAGCAGAATGAGGTAAAGGGAATGAGGGACTCTGCACAGTGAAAGGCTGAAAATAAATCTGCGATTAACTTGGCAGCAACAGCCACTACAAAGTCTTCAGTTGGCGGTGTTGGCGTTGGGTAGCCATAGTCATGATCATAGATGGTTGTCACTCTATTAACAGTTGCATATTGAACTAGACAAAGAGCTAAGTAGATGACAGAGCCCTTTTTCAGTTGTTAACAACCATAGCATTTTAAAGCCATTGCTACATATAAAACTCTGTGTGACCTTATTGGACACTTGGCCTCTTATTTTGTCATTGAATATCATTATTATTCATGTCACTGACCAGCTGCTTTGAATTGATCTCTGTTAATTTATTGTCATCTAATCAGTTCAGTTAAAAATGACAATCCGAGAGCTGTAGATTCTTAGGTACGGTGCTGAATGTGTTTTAGGCTGGTCGTCTATTTGGGCAAGTAAATATCTAAACCAGAAAGTTTTTCTTTTATAGCTATCTCAAAACAATATTCTTTAATAATCCACTTTAGTATTTGATTGCCCTAGTAATTCTGAAAGTCTACAAGAAAAAAAATGCGTAAACTGTGGTTTCATAAACAATGGCTCTAGTTTACCCCAAATAGCTATTTGGGACCACTGTGAGGTTTATTGCATAAAGTACTTCTCAGGAAATTAGGACGCTGTGTTCTTGTATTTTAAAGTTCTTCAACCAAACTATCTCATACTAGAATGAGTTGATTTGCAGCTCTATACATAAAAAAAGTGACCCGAATATATTTCCTAGTATCTCTGTATCTAGATAACCAGAATCTCCATGGTAAGCTCTAGGGTCCATTATTTGGAAATATTCCTTTGATAACTCTTTTCATCAAGCATATTTGGGAACACTAAATTATGGCTTGTGGTGCTGATGGTGATGGCGTGTGTGTGTATGTGTGTGTGTGTGTGTGTGTGAATTCTCTCTCAAACTTTACCCATCAAGTGATTTATATGTAAACATTCTAGTCAGAACCAACATTCAAGAGCAGAGATAATTTTTAGGCTAACATTCCAAATTTTAGATAACTGAACCTTAAAAAATGTAACCATGTTAACTGAACTCTTTTTGAAATGTATTACACTTTTTTCTTGATGTTGAGGATGAATTACTATGTCGCTAACTGTATAGCATGATTGCTTTTAATAGAATTTTATTTCTTAATTTACGCATTAGCAAAAATACAAAATAGAAAATGTGCCCTTTAAAAAAGGTGTGCCAAGTAGAGTATCTGACCTGAAAATCAGTTATGTAACTTTAAAGTCTTGAAATGCTTTCTTCATATCATCAGAAAATTAGCTAATTAAAATATTTACAATGAAAAAGCAACTGATAAAGATCGAAGTCAAAGACCCAGATTTTCTCTAATGAAATCTCATTGTAGGAGCCCTGTGAGCTTTCAGGATATTATCACCGGTTTCTTCACCGTAGTATTAATAAGGAGAAAGTCCTTAGCTGATTATGTTTTTTTCCTCCCCCCAAATTTAATTAGTTGCACCTGATTTTCCAGGGTACAAATTACTTTGTAGACTGTTTGGAAGATTAACTCTTTCAAGACTACTAGGTTACGATTACCCAATGACTGTGGTGTGGTCCAAGTTGGCACCTACACTGAGACTTGGAGTGGACAGGCCAATGAACTTGACCTTTCTCATTTACATAAACCATGTGAATATTATCGTTGGAGGGTTTGCCTTAATTGTATTCTCTTAGGGAAAATTTAAATCACGTAGGATTCTTTTTTGCCTTCGGTGGATGTCACTTTTACACATACGTTATTGTATTTCTTGTTTTAAATGTTTTTATTGATTTCAGAGAGAGGAAGGGAGAGAGAGAGAAACAGCAATGATGAGAGTCATCGATCAACTGCCTCCCACACGCCCCCCTCCTCGCACTGGGGATGGAGCCCCAAACCTGGGCCTGTGCCTGACCAGGAATTGAACCCTGACCTCCTGGTTCATGGGTCAATACTCAGCCACTGAGCCCCGCTGGCCGGGCTATTATTGTATGTCTTATACCTGTTGCAACAGATTACTTTGGGACATATTGCCTGTACTTCATTATGTAAGCTTCATATTTCACACAAAATATGATTTTTTTTAAACTAAATAAATTAATAGATAGCATAGATTGGGGAAGACGAAAGGAATAATTTCACTTTCTCTACTCTACTGCATGTTTCGTCACCAAATATTTGTATATAACGCATTCACATGCATAAACCTGACAGTTTTCCTGACCAAGCAGCAGAACTATGGTTTTAAATATTCTGGGAAGGAGTATGAGAGAATAACCATTCTTGGGCATTAAATCCACAATTGCTCACTGAATAAAAACATTCAACTGGAATAATAATTTTGACCACTTTTCAGACTCCCTGTGATGCATTGTCAAATATTCCGCCGTGAATAAGTGAACACATTTAGAATACAATAGATACATTTCAAGTCGCTTTAAATTACTAAATTGTTATATTTGGGAATTACCTGAGCATAACCTTCTCTAAGCAGACTTTTCTTTTCAAAAAATAATTTTTACAATTTCTTTTGCACTCTTCCTTTTACTTTCCTCTACTTTTATGCTTGAAAATAAAGAATCTCCATTCGAAAAATATTTTTTGTACATATAATGTAACAAAAATGAACAGGGGAAAATTCAGTGACAAATGGGCACCAACAGATTGCCTGGTAATCGTAATATTTAGAGGCGTGTGATGGAAGCTGTGGTGCCACCTTCCTGAAATGTTGGGACATCTCCCGTTCGGGTTCAGCTGGTGCTTACCTACCACCAGGGCTGATGGAGCCAAGCGCACAATCACCTGGTTCCACAGTGGCAGAGAGAAATGTAAGTCAACCGTGGGATGTCCATCGAAGAGGGACACATAATGATGCTGGAATCATAAGCCTTAATGACATTTTGCAATATTTACCATCTCTAGAACAGAAACATTTTCAATTAATAAAACAATTTACGAACGCTTCTTACTGTTCAAGAGTTTAAGAGAGAGAGAGAGAGCGTGCAGGGGGCCGTCGGGTATTGTGTGCTTTAGCCAGTTGGCTGCTTCTTGTCTCATCTCTAATGTCGATGGTCTTAGGGAACATGAAAGCGCCTCCACAGCTCTGAAGAGCCTGAAGGTGATTTAGATGTTGTGCTGGGTTGTTAGGAACGATGACATAACGCTTTGTCCCTAGGAAGCGGTACCTTTATTCCGAGGACACACTGCTGAGTCCTGGCTGCAGAAGGGCTGTGGGAACGGGCCCCTTTCGAAGCCAGCTGGTTCTTGCTGCTGTTAGACACTAGGAACTGATCCCGTGTTTCCTTGTGCTAACCTGGTGCTCTGATTTCTGACACAACTGCCACTTTGAGGTGAGCGATACAAACAAACCTGGTCTATTAAGAGTGGAGAAAATATTGTTTGTTTGGGATAAAAAATAAATTGTACCTTCTGTTTCCAAGATGTGTTCAACAAAACTCTAAGGACTCTTGAGTATTGGTGCCTAGCAAGTTACAATAACGTCATTGACTCTGTGACCACTGAGCTAGAGAATAAATGTTTGTTTAGACAACTCAAAATCGTTACCCTGGGTTCAGACATTGTTTTGTACTTCTACCTATTTTCTTCATGGGGTATACATGTAAATAAAAGCCTAAGATGACTTTTTCAAAAGACAATTTTTATAATTTTGAAAATGCAGCCCATGATGTAATGTACGTGCATGTTTTCTACTTTTGTTTATTGATGTCTGTACCTTGTTACCGCCGGGGACCGACTTCAGTGGAATCTTTGCTTGTATATGTTTGTTCTAATAAATGATAGATTATATATGAAGGTGTATCTCGATGTGTAAAATGAATATTATTTCTTGTAATTATTTTCAAGGTGGTCAGTTTGTCTTTCCGGTTATTGGTTGAGAAGTCAATAAAATAAAAGTTGGTTAAGGGTGGAGAGTGGTTTGATAATTACTGAAGATATGTGTCTGTTAATGGACAAGAGGCCTGTCTTTCTTTTTTGGCCTTTTTCTTAGCAGAATTTAAACTGCCCAGTTACTCACATTTTCACATATCCTGTATTTACATGTTCTTACCCATCATGGGAGGGAACTGAATTTAACTGAACATCATTTGTTCCAGCTTCATATGTGCAGCCAACAAGCTGACCTCTATTCTGAATACAAATTTGTTGCACTATTTAACAAATGGGTTCTGTAAAAAAAGAGAGAGAGAGAGAAAGAAACATTTCTTAGTATAAATGTATGGGGTGGATTCTTTTATTTCTTCTTGCAACCTCTTGGGGTGGGGTGGGACCTTTGCATGATCATTTCATAGAATCATTGAAGGGACCTTAGAGGCCAAGTTCAAGTCTAACCCCTCATTTTACAGACAATGAAAATGTAATTCATTAAATACTGTGTCTCACCAATGAGCTACAGAGAGAGAGAGCTGAGACTGCATTCATAAAAATTTAGGAAATATTGGGCACCTGTTATTCTCTGGAAATTGTGTCAGCTGGTAGGGATAAAGTGATGAATATAGTGTTTGCTCTTTAAAGGGCTTCCCAT